CTTTTTTTACTTGAAAAAATTTTTTTTTCTTTTCTTTGAAGGTTTAAGACATCAGTAAATAAACACTTAAAACTATTTGAACAGGGTGTTTGAAATTGCAGCAAAACAGTTTTAACAATTAAATGTTTCATTTTGCAAAGATGCTACAGTAATTGTGTGACATGCTTTTTTTCCCTATGTGTGTCTTAAGAGTGTGCCTGCATGAGCAACAGCAAATAACCGTGATTCAAACCGTGTTTTAAGTTTTTGAGGRGTGGGGGGTGTGGGGGGTGTCTGCCAGCAATGATTAAAATCATTATGAGAACATATGACGTTAAACTTATGTAATGAAATATTTTCCCCAAATTACCAACAAAGCAACAGCGTGATCACCTCAGGGCCAATAAAGGGAAAGAACATGTTGTTTTACAGCTAATAGCCAGGCTCACATGAGACCATTAAAGGCCAATGAAGAATCTAAACTGGGGTTATAACCTGCTGGAGTCACACTTTTTTTTTAAAATTGGGAATTTAGAAGTTTTAGGCCTTTTGGTTTATAGAGCTTTACTGACGATTTCTTTTTAAAGTCTTATCTACATTTATATCTCACGCCCTGTTTACTTTCCTGAGCTGTTCCTGAACAAAACTAAACTTTCCCGCAGTTTTTCTTTAAATATCTCAGAGCAGCCAGGATCAAAACACTCAGGAAAACAATGTTTTTATTAAAGACTTGGCAACTTGTTTCTAGGTTCTCACTTCAACTGTTTTAATGCAACATATTTGTCTCCATATTCTTCCTTATTTCTGCAACATTTTGTCCACCTCTGCCACACATTTCTGACCCAGCTTGGCCCTGTAATCAATTGGACATGCTAGATCCGATATCCTTTTCATGATAGTCAAACTTTAGTATGATAACTTTCCATGACCCCCCCTCTGCTTGCTTTTATCGAGGTATAATGTTTCCACATGTTCCGTGTCCACACCAAAATTTCTTTTTTTCCCCCCTCTCTGGCAACAGGAGTAGACACTGAGACTTGTGGAGCATTACACAAAACCAAACATTAAAGTCAGRATAAAAATCTCTCCTTAACATCTGAAATCTGATGTTCACTTATCTTGCACATGTTTGACCAGATTTATCCAAACACCTGGCTTTGTTTTCATCTCCTTTAAAAAAAAAAAAAGAAGAAGAAAATGTGTTATCTCTTGCAGTTTGTTGTATTTTGGATTTATTTTAATGTTTGCTTCCATGCAGACAAATGAGTTTGTTTGAGGAGCTCGTGACCATCCACGGGATGGAAGTGAGGGGATGTCAAATAAATGAACCAGGAGGACATGTAGACCTGAAGAAGAGAAGGGGAGGGGGAAAAAAAAGGTTTTGGTCCATTAAACACGCCTAATTAGTGCAATTATCACATCTCTACAAGCTTCAGAGAAGTCAAGTGATCCCTCATGTGGTCAAGTGTGTGTGTGTGTGTGTGTGTGTGTGTGTGTGTGTGTGTGTGTGTGTGTGTGTGTGT